ATGTCCGCCGGCAGCGGGGACGCTAAAGGATGGGGTCGCCTGGGAGGGAGGGCACAGCCAACGACGGATGGAGAACTGAGTTAGCGGGCAGCTGACAGTTTTGGAATGTGCTGGAACAGTTTTGGAGCAGTTTTGGAACAGTATTTAAATGTGATTAGAAAGGTGAATGATATGAGCTAAAAAAGCTTATTTCTTTCAACGGAAACGGGAGAGGACAGGTCGTAGGAAAACGTCATTTTTTCCACCTTAAATGCAGCTCGGATGTTTCAAAAAGAAAGGCTTACTTTGCAAGCGCATCAACGACTGAACATCAACCTCTCGATATCGATCGCAAAATATGTTTTCGTTCACCAAAGTAGATCAAACACGAACTGGAACGGACGTTGAAAATAAGATAGAGCGAAAATGATACGAAAGCCAAACAACACAAACACAGGAGGCTGCAGTAAAAGATGCTGACATCCGATTGGACGAGGAAGTGAACCGGAGAAGTTTCGGGCACGCCTATCGCGTGGCCGAACTCAGAACTGGCCGGACGTCGCGTCGGCTGGGAACCACATCGATCATCGCCACCTGTCCTCGGACGCATTTTTTTTCCAGCACCAGTGGCTAACGACGGCTGCGGACACTCGGCACCGGTGGCCACCGACTGCTGATGACAGCCGGCACCGGTGGCCACCGACATCTGATGACAGCCGGCACCGGTGGCTACCGACATCTGACAGCCGGCACCGGTGGCTACCGACTTCTGATGACAGCCAACATCGGTGGCCACCGACATCTGATGACAGCCGGCACCGGTGGCTACCGACATCTGACAGCCGGCACCGGTGGCTACCGACTTCTGATGACAGCCAACATCGGTGGCCACCGACATCTGATGACAGCCGGCACCGGTGGCCACCGACGTCTGATGACAGCCGGCACCGGTGGCCACCGACGTCTGATGACAGCCGGCACCGGTGGCCACCGACATTTGATGACAGCCGGCACCGGTGGCCACCGACATCTCATGACAGCCGGCACCGGTGGCCACCGACATCTGATGACAGCCGGCACCGGTGGCTACCGACATCTGACAGCCGGCACCGGTGGCCACCGACATTTGATGACAGCCGGCACCGGTGGCCACTGACATTTGATGACAGCCGGCACCGGTGGCTGCCGACGGCTGTCGAGAGACGCCTGCTGACCACCAGCTGTGGCTTCTGGAGTCATGGGGCTCAACATCGCTCATCGTTGAAGTTTCCGGTGACAGCCGACTGTTTCCGAGAGCTGGATTGGCAGCTGCTGTCGGCAGCTGTCGGCCGCTGTCGGCAGCTGACCGTGATATCGATGGCGCCGCCGGTCGCCGAGGAAGGCCGGTCGCCGCTGGCCGCTGACGGCTGCTGATTGTTCTCTATTGGCTGCTGGATCTGGTGGCGCGCTGACGGGGGGGGGGGGGGCGTGATGACAGCAGCAGCTGCGAATACCGAGCGGCCGCGGCACGCACCCACGGCACGTCCATGGCCGACGCGGCCTGTCGGCATCAGGCCAGCCCCGGCCGGCGACGGGCCATCGATCACAGCGTCCTCCCGGTACCGACCGACCGGTCCGGGCAGGTCCGATCGGCGCTCTGTGTAACGACAACGTGTGCTGTGCATCTGCAGTGCTGACAAGAGGATAGCAACTCATCATAGGAGCCATGACCTAATAGGACAAATACGTGGCTTATTGTCATATGTATAGCGTGCAGTAGTGAGTATAATTGACTATCTCCTGACCACATTGGTGCCCTCTGCATTCACTGATCATCTGCTGGCCTCGGTGGCCTCAGCTGACGATAATGAGCCGGTCATTCTGTATCAGATGCGCTGTCCCGTGACGGCTCCGGGCTCATTAAGGGGACAGCTCATTAGTACTGGGACAGCTATTTGCCGGCTGACCGGTTAGACAGGCCACTCATTAAGGTGGACTCAGGAGCACTGTCTCTGCGCCGGTGTCATTCTTTGCAGGCTGGGCGAATTTCGTTTCTTTTCCGAGATGGCTTTTTGGTTGTTTGTTTCCCGGTGTGAAATGAGGCTCGAAGGCGTTGTCATTCCAGCAGCGTGCGCGGCGACTCTCCCTTATCTGGATTCAAAACGCTGCGCTTGAAATGAAGAATGACGTGATTGATTTCATGTGTGTACTGAGTGGGATATAAATTAAAGCATCGCCACCTTTCGACCTCTGTCGTTAAGACCTATTGCCATAATGCGTCGGAAAAACATCCTCGAAAAGTTCTACCAGTAGGTATCGGCTTGCAAAGTCCCAAAAGCTCCCAAGGGGATATAATCAAGCATCAACACCGTTATTGTCGAATACCGGACTCTAAAATTTTACCATCTTCGGCTCGTGACGTTTCTGTACCATTGTCTAGTCTCCATACTTGGGCAATGGGCATATCTTTGCACTTATTTGTTTTGCCGTCATCAGCAAGTTTCAATGATGGAAAAATTCAGCGACCAAATAAAAACTTTGTCCCTACTTCCAACGTTCATTGCTGCTAGTGTCATGATCCTGTCTTGCGGTGCTACATTTACTATGCTAGATTTCTGCGCCTGCGATTTGCCGTGGAACCGCACGCACGTTTTGCCTATTTTCGCATTCCGTTCGGCTCCCGCGGCAAATTACCTTAATTACCAGCGAGAGAGTACGGTAACCTTATTGGTGTACGGCTGATCAATATTACTTGTGGCCAGCCGAAATCCTCCAGGGTTGACCGACGTGTCACCTTGCTGCCGCCGGCACTGTGGCGCCCTCAGAGAGTGCTGAGACAGAAGCAGAAATCAGGGACGTTTATCTTTCGTCCTCTTATCTTTTTCCTATCAGAGACGTCTATCCTATCCCTTTCCGTTGGGAGAAGGGATAAGAATTAGTAACGGAACGTTTAACGGAAGGAACATTTGACATGGTCGGGAATAAGTGGAAACTCGGCCAAAATGTAGGTCAGGGAGGTGGATGAACATCGCAGATCGTTTCTTTACACAACAGCTTGTGCGATAATGAGGACGAAACATCGCACCTTCTACAGGGTGTAACGAAATTATCCGGACATCAATTTTTTCGCCGTATCCGTTCGCATTGCTTTCTTTCTGACGATAGGAGCGTGGAAGTTAGATAAATTCGTACCTATGGTTCCGGTCATCACCACCAAGGTGACCTGACCTTGGGCGGTGACCCATGCCGTCAGTACGGGTCGAGCCACCGCCGGTGTCACTTGGCAGTTTTCGTTCAGAGCAATGACGAGAAAAGAGTACAGCCTCTCCTTTCGCAGCAAAGCTGTGGGGATGGTCCATGGCGGCATGAGCCAGAAGATGGTCTGCCAGCAGCTGGGTATCAGCAGGAGCCAGCTGCACGTCTGGCTGAAGCGTGATAAGCTGGGACTTGGGCTGCAAACCCAGCCCGGCCGTGGCCGCAAGACCGCCCTTCACCCAGTGGCCAAGAGGGTTATCAGGATGGCGACGGAGAAACGTCACCAATCAACTCGAAAACTGGCTCGAAGGCTTACCAAGGCAGGGTGCAAGACGTCCCATATGATGATTCACCGCTACCTGCGCAACAACCTGGCCATGCGCCCGTTCAAACTGAAAAGGACGCCAAAACTGACTGAAAAACAACGAGCTCACCGACTGAAGTTCGCTCGAGAGCACCTGCACTGGTCGGAGGAAGAATGGCGGAAGGTGGTCTGGTCGGACGAGTCACCGTTCGAGCTATTTCATCCTCCGAACCGCCAAAACGACCGTGTGTGGGCGGCCAGCAGCTCGGACGTACCGACGGTCCCCAGCGTGAAGCATCCGGCCAAAATCCACGTCTGGGGCATGTTCAGCTACCGTGCGCTGTCCCAGCTGTACGTGGTGCCCCAAAAAACGACCATCAACGGCGAGTACTATCGGAGCAACATCCTGGCCAACGAATGTCTGGAGGCGCTCAACCGGACTGCACAGGAGGGCCCGGTTTCCAAACGCGCGCTGATGCCCGATCCAAGCCAAGCGGTGTTCATGCAGGACGGCGCACCGCCTCACAGCGCCAAAAGGACTCAAGACTGGTGCCGTGAGAACCTCCCATCCTTCTGGGCCAACGGGGTGTGGCCTGGGAATAGCCCTGACCTCAATCCCATTGATAACTTGTGGGCTATTCTCCAGCAGGAGGTGAATCAGAAGCCACCCGCCACCAGCACGGATCACCTGGAGACACAGGTCAAGACGGCGTGGCGCCGGATCAAAAGCAGTGTGCTGGAGAGTCTGGTGGCTGGGATGCCCCAGCGCATGAGTGACTGTGTTAAGATGAACGGTGGCTACATCGGTAAATAAACGAGAAAGCCCCCGACTGTTTTGTTCTCTAATTAGAGCGGGAAGAACAATGTCCGGATAATTTCGTTACACCCTGTATATCAATTCTTAAATCGCAGCACGTTATACCAAGTTGCTAACAGGAACACATACCTATATTAAACCGCAGTGCATTTGCAAGCTGCATGCATATTCGTTTACGTATATTTGTTGGGGAGTTGACAAACTATGCATATACATGCGGCAATATGCTTGTGCATGCATGAGATGTGTACGTACCTGAAAGTATGGTTGCATAGGTACTTTGACGTCAAATCGGTTTAGGGCCAGCGTAAAGGCAAAGTTCAATTTGCCTTTTGGTTTTATAATCCGTGAAGTTGTTTCGAAATGGCGCCAACGCAGGCATTTCTTATCATTTGTGCGCAGACGCAATTAATAACTTGTATGAACGTCTTTTTGTGATACCCGAAAGAGATAAAAAGTATAAAATAAAACCGCCCCACTTAATTTCAGATTATGATGTTGCTGCGCTTCAGGTATTAAGTGATATGCATATTGCATTGTAGTAACTTGGCAGTGAACTAAACGGCAGTGATTTAACGACCATGAATTCAGTTGACCTTGGCCGAGATGTTGTCGGAGCTTCAGTTTTGTAAAATACACACTTGTTTGATCGGGCTGGCACTGTGAGGACCACGGTATATAGTGAGGACTTTGGTGAGGACTTGACGAGCGGACTGCTGATTCGGGAGATTCGGAAGACGACACTACAATTGGCGACGAGGTAGTCGGACCAGACGTGAGGTATGGAGGGAATTCGTCCGCCCGCGGCATTCTTACCTCTTCCAGGCCCGCCGGTGGTGCCGTGGAATAACTGGTTTCCGGACTTCGAAGTTTATGCCATGGCCATAGGTTGGTCAGCATGGAGTCAGGAGAGGCAGCAGGCCTTGCTCCTGCACTGCCTTGGGCAGGAAGGGCGGAGACTGTTTAGGGCTGAGTGCCCAGGAGGTATTGTGAAAACAGAGCCCTCTGACACCACTTTGGTTGAGGATACAGTAGCTGTCTTATGTCGTCTGTTTGTCAGTAAGACTGATATCATCTCAGAGAGGATAAAATTCAGGAAGTGCAGACAGCAGGCTTCTTCTGTTCGTACCTACCTAGCCAATCTGAGGGAAGGTAGTCAGAAGTGTGCATTTGGTAACTTAGAAGATGAAATGATAAGAGATCAGTTTTTGGAAGGATGTTCCTCTCAAAGGCTTAAGGAAAGACTGTGTCAGGAAGAAAACCTAACCCTGCAGCGTCTTGAAGTCATCGCTCTCGCTGCTGATCAGGCTGCTGACCGTCAACAAACTCTAGCTGGTAGGTCTCCGGAGCTGGGGGCAGAGGTCCTCAAGGAGGTGGCAGCGACTGAGAGGAGAGGCGGCTTCTCCACCCGGCGAGACTCAGAAGGCAAGAAACGACAGCAAGGTGAGATGACCTGTTTTGCATGTGGCCGTAAAGGACATAAAGCCAAGAGTAAGGAGTGTCCAGCCAGGGTCAGGAAGTGTAACAAGTGTCATGAGAAAGGGCATTATGCAGTCATGTGCAAGCGTCAGGAGTCTTCGCATGCCTGTGTGGTAGAAGTGTCGACTGTGCACCATGTGCCCTCTCAAGTGCCTCGTCCCATGATGTCTGTTGGCATTGATGGAATTCAGGTCCAGATGTTGGTGGATACAGGATCGGGAGTGAGTCTGATACCCAGCAGCTTGTATCAGGAGCAGTTTGCGCACGTCCCTCTACAGATGTCTTCCATCAGGCTTCAGGGATATGGAGGACACCTTCTGCCTGTTCGTGGTATGATGACGGCCACAGTGTCCTCTGACAGGGGATGTTCGACTGAGGGTACCTTGTTCGTGGTGGAGTCCCACAGTGTACCCCTGCTTGGCCGTGACCTACAGCAGCTGCTTAGTGTTACAGTCAAAGATGGCAATGTCGTCTGTGCGGTGGAGGGGGAGGATGCAGAGGTTCTGCCCGCCATACACGGCTTTGTCCACAGAGTCAAGGTGAAGGAGGGGGCCACTCCGGTCCGTCAGAAGCTGCGACCCCTGCCGCTGTCGGTCAGGGGTGAAGTGAAGGAGCACCTGGAGAAGCTGGAGAAGCAGGACGTCATAGAGAGGGTGGACTCCTCTCCATGGGTGTCACCTGTGGTGGTCACCCGGCGACGGACTGGTGGTATCCGTCTCTGCTTGGACTTGAAGGAGGTGAACAAGAGCATCATCTCAAGTAAGCACCCCTTGCCTGACATGCAAGAGATGTTAGATAAGCTCAGAGGAGCCAGAGTATTTTCTTCACTAGACATGAAGTCAGCATTCAATCAGTTGATGCTTCACAAAGAGTCCCGTGACTTGACCGCTTTCATGACGCACGAGGGTCTGTGGCGCTACAAACGGTGCTGTTTTGGACTGTCGTCCATTCCAGCGGCATTCCAGAAGGTCATGGAAGCCGTCCTGACGGGTCTGCCAGGGGTGATGGTGTACATGGATGACATCATTGTGTTTGGCAGGGATGCACCAGAGCATGATGTCCGGCTGCAGCAAGTCCTCGCGCGACTGAACGCTCATCGTATCACCCTGAACGAGAAGAAGTGCTTGTTTGGTGTCCCCACACTTGACTTCCTCGGGTTGACAGTGAGCGCAGCTGGCATCTCGGTCAGTGTTGAGAGGACGAGAGGGATGACGGAGTTGACGTCACCGCGGACCAAGGCTGACCTCCAGTCAGCTCTGGGCCTTTTTGGCTTCTATGCCAGGTTCGTGCAGGGCTACTCGTCGCTGGTGGAGCCTCTGCGCGCGCAACTTCGTTCGAGTGCAAGTCACGAGTTCGAGTGGTCTGAGGAACTGGAGCTGGTCTTCAGGAGGGTGATCGCTCTGATCACGTCCAGTTCTGCGCTTGCCATGTTTGACCCCACCTTACCGACAGTGGTGACCACGGACGCGTCTGATGTTGGTCTCGGTGGGGTGCTGAGCCAGATCCACCCGGAAGGAGAGCGGGTCGTGGCGTTCGCATCCGCTACCCTCTCCTCAGCACAGCGGAAGTATTGTGCGACTGAGAAGGAGGCACTGGCTGCTCTATGGGCTATTGAACACTGGCATCGGTACCTGTTTGGCATTCACTTTACCCTCAGGACGGACCATCAGGCGCTGCTGCGACTTCTCACGTCCAGAGGAGTCGGACGGGCAGGAATGAGGATCAGTCGCTGGGCCAGTCGCCTCCTCGTCTACGACTTCGAGATCCGTCACGTGCCAGGCAAGTGTAACGTGGCTGACGGTCTCTCGCGTCTGCCGGCAGTGGGCGCGGAAGCGGCTCCAGACGACGAGGAGCAGCTGGTGGCGGAGATAGCTGAACGGGTGGAGCGTCTCTCGGCAGTGAGCAGAGGCGAGCTCCGCGAGTCAGTTCAGACCGACCCTGTTCTCAGGAAGCTGAAGAGTCAGCTGGACGAAGGGTGGCCGGCAAGGATTGCCAGCTGTCCTGACGACCTGAGACCGTTCTTCCGCTGCAGGCTGGAGCTGTCAACGGCTGACGGTCTCATCTTCAAGGGCGACCGGATCGTGGTTCCGGAGGAGCTGAGAAGGCGTCTTCTGGATCTTGCTCATGAGGGACATCAAGGCACGGTAAGAACTAAGCAGCGCTTGAGGGAGCTGTTTTGGTGGCCCGGGATGGACGCCAACGTTGAGTGTCTTGTGCGTCAATGTGCTGCTTGCGCTACCGCTGACAAGACTGTCAAGGTGAATGTGCCCCCACTGAACCCGGTGCCCCTGCCCCAGACGCCCTGGAGTAAAGTGGGCATAGACTTCATTGGACCGATGGAGGGAGGTGGGGTGCAGAGACGTTTTGCTATTGTCATGGTCGATTACTACTCAAAGTGGCCAGAGGTAGCATTTTGTGCGCACCCCAACTCGGAGTCAGTGATAGAGTTCATGGAGGCTGTTGCGAGTCGAGAAGGATACCCAGAAGAGCTAGTTTGTGACAACGGTACTGCATTCACCTCTGCTGTCTTCACAGGCTACCTGAAAGAAGTGGGTGTGAGACAAATCAGAGTGACTCCCTATCACCCAAGGGGGGCGGGAGCAGTTGAGCGGTTCAATAAGAACGTCAAAAATGTCCTGCAGACTGCGACGGCCGATGGTATGGATTGGAAGCGGGCCATCCGTGAGTTCCTATTGTCATATAGGTCCACACCCCATTCCACTACGGGCAGGTCACCGGCGGAGCTGCTGCGAGGGAGGCAACTGCGCACCAAGCTGCACGCGGCGGCTGAGCGTCGTCCGGTGGACGACTCGACGACGAGGGCGCGGGTGGCGACGCAGCAGGAAAAGCAGAAAAAGTACTTCGACCTGAGGTATGGTGCCCGGCCGAGGGACTATGAAGTGGGAGAATGGGTGAGGTTTAGGCTGGTGCCCCGCCCCAGGAAAGGTCGGCAGGCCTTCTCGTCTCCGAGAATGGTGATGGAAAGGAGGGGACGTGTCTCATACAAACTCAGCTGTGGGACATTGGTGCACGCTGAACGACTAACCCGCTCCACAGATCCTTCGAGCGGATCGCCGCCAGCGAGACGGAGTGAAGTCGGCGGTTGTCCGTCTCCGGCAGGCGGCGGCGGAGGACCGCCGTCTCCGGCGCGCGGCGACGGAGGACCGGCGCGCGGCGGTGGCGGAGGGCGGCCGTCCCCGACGAGCGCCGGCGAGGGAGAGCCCCCAACGAGCGACGGCGGTGGACCGCTGTCCAGGGGCCGCGCATCGTCTCCGGCACGCGGCGACGGAGGACCGCCGCCGTCTCCGGCGGGACCGCCGCCGTCCCCGGCGCGCGGTGAGGGGTCGTCGTCCCCGATACGTGGCGACGGTGCGCGCGGTGAGGGGTCGTCGTCCCCGATACGTGGCGACAGTGCGCGCGGTGAGGGGTCGTCGTCCCCGATACGTGGCAACGGTGCGCGCGGTGAGGGGTCGTCGTCCCCGATACGTGGCAACGGTGGGGGACCGTCGTCCCTGGCGCGTGACGGTGGGGAACGGCGAACGCGGTGTGGGAGACGCATCAAGACACCAGCGCGTTTCCGTTAATGGAGGGGGGAAAATGTAGTAACTTGGCAGTGAACTAAACGGCAGTGATTTAACGACCATGAATTCAGTTGACCTTGGCCGAGATGTTGTCGGAGCTTCAGTTTTGTAAAATACACACTTGTTTGATCGGGCTGGCACTGTGAGGACCACGGTATATAGTGAGGACTTTGGTGAGGACTTGACGAGCGGACTGCTGATTCGGGAGATTCGGAAGACGACACTACATGCATATTCCATGATCCATAAAGTAGACGCTCTCGAAAACACAGCCTCATGGCGGCGAGCTCCTTTGGCCAGTTAACTGAGGCTCAGCGGCTCTGGGACGGCTCCCGCAGCCATTATCTGGCGATATTGGACTGGCGGCGAAGGCGGTCGGCGGCGCGTCGCCGCACCGGGCGGCCGGGACGATTGTCTTTCGGCAGTGCCGCTGCGGCTGCGGCTCTCTGATGATCGATACGGCTCGGAGGAGTGACGCCCGTCAGGACCGCCGCCGTGCCCGAGAGGCCGCCAGCGCGCACAGCCCGCGGCCGAGCGGCCGAGCGGCGGAGCGGCCAGCGAAAACAGGCCGACATCATTATCGCAACAGTAGGCCAAACACGGCGCCGTCCGGCCTACAGATGTGCGGGATATTGCGGCCCAGCCAGAGACAATAGCAATAACAGACAGAGGTAGTTGGGAAAGCCGTGGGCACTGTTTGAACAAGCCGTTTGAGTAAACAAAATATGTGGCACACAATGTTCGTCAGAGAGAATGAAAATGTGCAGTTGTACTGCAAATACAGCGACGGTATTGAGCTGCCAGATTGCTCGACCCCCATCACATCCAGGACATCTTTTGGAGAAATATGTTTTGCTCCGTTTCGTTAAAAATATGTTTTTTAATGTTTTGCCATGCATGTAGCTACCACGGTACATCACAGCTCGGTGATCGAAATACACGCAATGGGCATTCGTTCACTATTCCCCTGAGCTTCTGCCCCGAGCCGGACGTCTGATTTCTGACCCGTGGTGGCTGATCCGGCCGTCCAATTCCCTGCCACTCATGCGTGTCCCTGTGGCCATCGACCGTAGGACATGACACGCGCCGGCGGCCGCCCTCTGACCCCTCCGATTCCCTCACCCCTGACCTCATCAGCGGTGACCTGACGAGGACTGACACACTGCCACGAGCAGTGTTCCTGACTGTTTATCACCAATATGAAAAAAATTGGACGTTATGTTCGTTACGTTATAAAGCACTGGTTGACCTTATCTTCTCAACACTCATCATCAAGCCCTGCATTGCTCCTATAAATTATTGTTAAAATATATGCACTCCAACACTGAGTAAGGCCAAAAGTTAGCTATACGGTCCATAGTTAGGAGTACCAAGACCGCATGCTAAAATTGTAGGTAAACTTTGAATGCCACTAGTGAGAATTCTAGGAAATGTCGTATCGCAGAGGTCAGATGTTGGTGCGCCTTCGTTGGCATTCCAGCTATACAATCTGGTGACATGTTTCTTCCAGACAAAGTTGGTATAAGGTTATAAAATCACTAAGTGAAATGCTAATAATTTGGGTAATAATTGCTCATTCATCAAAACTGAACATTCCAGGTATAACACACATAGTTATGTCGATAAAGCGAGGGTCGATAACTTATGTGGAACCATTATGTTTATTATTATTATGCATACCAAGTACTCACAAGCCTACTATAGGCAATCAAGCAAACAGCTTCATAAACCTCTAAAACTCGCTAAATTGCCCTTGCCCGAAATGCATTTGCGATTAAGAATTGCAGGCAGTCATTCCTGGGATATAAAAGCATGAGCGAAACGCCACTCGCCCTGAGCTTTCTGGAAATTTCCAAAGTCACCAAAGTAACTTCAGTGCAGAGTCACAAGTCTTACTTCATCGATACAATAGCCCAAATGTCACTCGTCTTCACCGGGACGACAACAGAACTTTGTCGAAGACAACTGAGCGCTCCCGGAGATCTGGCCGACACCGATCACACAATGACCACAATGACAATGGTTTTAGATTTTGTACTTCGATGGGTTTGCAAAATCAAAGTAAAGCCAAAGCCAACACCCGATAGTTTTAGCGCTGTCTTGTAGTTGTGACGGTTTTGAAATTATATCTACTCACTTGAATGTGTCCCGAAATACCTTTCCTGATCTGTCCCGTTTATACTTATGCAAAAAAAAAACAAGAAATAATAAATCCCTGTGGCCTGTATCTGAATCATCTATGTAGAGTAGGCACAACCTGCAGGGCACAACCGTCGCAGAGAGTTGCGCATGAGGATGGGGAACTCGTGACAAATGTAGCCATTCCTGAGAGGTGAAGTTCTCCATGTCTATTAGATTGGCGGCAATTCCCGCGTTCATTAGCTGCGGGCGGCCGGCCACTGACCGGGACGGCAATCAATTCTCGTTCGACACGCGGCCGATAGGGGTGGGCGGGCTGCCAGTCCAGCCCAGTCGCTGTCACGGTCAGAGGGCGTGGAAACAGCACCGCAGGGAGTAGACGAGGATATAACTCCGCGGGGAGGAGGGGATATCACTTCAGGGGGAAGACGAGGATACAACTCACGAGGACACAGCTCCACAGGGAGCGGACGAGGATATAACTCCGCGGGGAGGAGGGGATATAACTTCAGGGGGAAGACGAGGATACAGCTCCAAGGAGAAGAAGGGGATACAGTTCCTCAGAGAAGACAGGAGTACAGCTTCACGTGCAGCCCCACAGGGGAAGATTGAGGGATAGCTCCCTGGGGAAGACAAGGATACCACTCCACGGGAAGACAGGAATACGGCTTCACGGAGAGGACAGAGGAACAGCCCCACAGGGAATATGGAGGGACAGCCCCACAGGGAAGATAGAGGGACAACTCCATGGATATCACGGGGACACAGCTCCACAGATAATAGATATTGCTCCATTGATAAGACGGGGATACAGACTACAGCTCCACGGGGAAGACGGGATATAAGTTCGGCATAATAAAATAGAGAGACAGCTCCGTGGACAAGACGGGGAGATGGCTCCACAGGGAAGACGAGGATACAGCTCCACAGAGAAGATAGAGAGACGTCTCCATGGGGAAGAAGAAGATACAGCTCCACGGGAAAGACGGGAATACAGTTCCAAGGGAAGACGGGGATACAACTCACGAGGATACAGCTCCACTTGGAAGACGGGGCAGGGAAAGAAGGGGATTCAGTTCCAAGGGAAAAGAGGATGCAGCTTCGCAGAGAACACAGATATACAGCAGGACCACGGGACCTTGGAAGAGCCGGGTGGATTGACGGGAGCCACATATCTATCTTTTACTGAGTGACTACTCTTCAAGTAATAACAATTGGACCTGAGCAGGGGTGCTACATTACGGTTGGCAATATTATGCCTCATATGTCCTTGGTCCTGCAGTGGATCCCGCACGAACCGTCACTGACAGACCCCACCTCTGACCTTCTGACGGTCCACGGAGTGACCCGTGTGACCTCTGCTTGGTCGGATAATCTACAGCAGCCCAGCAGGCAGTGACCGCAACAGCGGCGGGTCAGTAACCATTCACTACGTCTCCCGCCTCGTCTCGCCCGCGCCAGCGTTCGATACGGAGCGGCCCATTGCTGATTTACCGAGTTAAGGCCTCTCAATCCTGTTGCAGCGACGGAGTGGCCCGCGGGCCTGCGGAGTGACCGGAACTGGGCGGATCGGTCCGGATCAGACCGGCCCCAGTACGGCTAGTCGGAGGCATCGGGTGGGAAAGGCACGGCAAATGGCCAGATAGACTGTCTTTCCTGTCGTAAATACCTAGCCAATGCGCTGAATAAACTAATAAGACAACGAGCATTATTATACGGGTGAAAGTAGTCAAACATTCCTTAGCATTTTTGTTTGAAGTAGGCAAATTGGGCTAATCCGTAATAAGTAAAATGTAAAAAGATAAAATGATTAATCGATAACATATAGTGCCTACGTATCTTTCATCGATGTCTTGGGCTTTGTTTATTCCATCATTGAATAGCTGTTTCCTCAGAATATAATTGTGATCGACCACATCGATTTCTTTTCCATTGTATCATATCTACCAAATGGTCCGATATGGATAGTTCGGTAGATGGTGCCGACACTAATCTAACTAAAATCTCTGATCGCAGACAACACAACTAGATACAGAAAAACCTAGCTTATCTTTGAACCTTTCGCAGCAGAAAATGCAAGGAACATTTGTGACTTTTCTTCAAACGTAAATGACATAACCTTTACAACATCAAAAGCACCGAATTCAGCGAATTATCGAGTGCCACTAATGCGATGTCATCATAAATTTAAGTCCATAAGGTTCTTTCGTCCAGCTGCTCAATCCCACGAAAACAAAACAACGCACACTTTGTGCCACGTCAAATGGAAACCCAAATTAGACGCATTAAAGGATTTTGCAAATGACATTAATGCTTGCAAATCAATAGTAGGACACTCTAAAATATCGCCAGTGCTGTTCACAAAAGCTTCAAAGCTTCAATGCACTTCTCGATACTTGCATAGGGCTTTATTGAACAATTTCGCCCCACTAAGCGGAAACATAACATATTATAGCAGTAGAGGGATAACTAGCCAGCGGAATGAGAAGCAGATCAGTTATTTTCATATTCAAAGGTGAAAAGAGAAAGGAGTGGTTTCACTTACTGGTGACGGCGCTCATTGGGTTGAACATTCCGAACATTGCTGGCGTTTTGTGGCCGACGGTCGGCTGCCGGTAGCTTCACAGGTTCGCAGGGCGACTCGAGACGGTGCTGCTGTTGAGGTGCTGGCGGCCAGCAAAGGGCGGCCAGAAAGAGCTGTCTGGACTGGAATCGGTCGCAGAGGAAGATAGGAAAATGAAGTGGAACGAGAGGGTGAGTGGGCAAGACGCAGAGATGTGGTTCAAGAGAAAGGAGAGATAGGAGGCCGAAATGTGTCACTGCATCCTTTCCTCAAACCTGAAAGCAGAGGAAATGGCATGTGAGTGCAACCAGCCAGCATCCAAAATACTCAACGATAAGCCAACGGAGAGACGTGGTGTTTGCCGTCAAAGAAATATTCGAGCAAGTTTTTAACACCTCTCAAGTTTCCATGCTTATCTAGGTTCTCCAGATGTGTACGGTAATTAGGTATACCTAGTAAAAATATCCTGGACACTCAGGAACGAGCAATAATAATTGCGACCAATCAATAGCTTCGGTAATGTTATGATGTTATAAGCAAGCGCATACCTAAGCAATAGCATGTAGTTTATTGTACTTGTCGAACATATTTCTTGAAGAAAAGCAAGCTCCACTGAGAATGCTCCCGTTACCATTTAAGATCTAGTTTAACTTTTATTTAACTCACAATGGTCACGACAAGAGCGTAAATCGTAAATCACGCTCAGCCTGGCTTTGACCTATTACATTGGATGATACATTACCCTCCACTTGAAGTGTTTTATTATGACCGATGATCACATATATACAGATGGGATTGTGTGTTTCTACAGCACTCATGCGAGTAATAGCGACCACGAGTGTATCTATTGCACGATTTCACCGTCCATGTATGATATCGACGGAGCAGATAAGCTTAGTTTGATTACAATTTTACCGACTATAAGCCTGCCAAGTTTTGATCCGACAACAGACACTTTTTATTAACGCTGTACATTGCCTTAATTAATTGCTTGGCACGTCACGAAAAGTTAAGAGGATCGAAAGAGGCGTTTTCATGCATGCCTAAAAGCGATTAGGAACTGAGGAAAATTCCTATTAGATATCTCTACTTGCCAGGCCTTGATCAAACTTTTTTCATCCCCTTCAAAGAAAATGTTGCCAAGTCATAGAATGATGGTGTTTGTACATACTTCGTCGTCCCTACCGGTTGTGACACTACATGGCATGTAATGTCACAACTGGTCTGTTACGGTCACGGTCAAAGTTGACATTGTCAACTTTACCTGTGTTCAAAAATGTAAGTCTCTGGACCTACTGTATAATGAGGCTGAGGAATAGTATTTCCTGATCAAGGCGATTAACAGATTTTCGATACGGAAACAGCTCTTACGCTCTTTAATGCTCCCTTTATAGTGTTAATGCCTTATGAAAGCATGCATGAGCGACCTAGCCGCAATCACCTCGTTGGTCGTTCTTGGTCAATAAGCTATTCTGGCACCACTATTACCCAAGCCAATAGTCATTTACCACCACAACCACCACCACCACCACCAACACCACCGCCACCGACACCACAGCAACCACCAGCAGCAACCGCCACCTTCCCCTCTGCCTCCGCCGCTGCACTGTGCCCTTGACAGCCAGACGCGCGCCCCCAGCTGCCCGCCGCGCCACAAGTGTGTCCCAGTCTGTGTCTGTCACGGTCGGACGCCCCGCGCCCGTCGCAAGGTCGGAATGATCAGACCTGAATGCGGCCCCCAGAGGGGAGGGGAGGGGAGCGCCAGGGAGCACCGAGTGGCACCATACATCAGAGCTGGTCCGCCACGGCCGGCGGTGGGGGACGGGGACACAATCTAACCAGCAATCGACGCGACGGAAAGGGAGGTGGGAACTGAGCAACAAAAGACGGCGGCAGAGGCGGAATGGGGATGGTGGAGGAAGGTGACCCAAGAATGATCTAGAAGTGAAAAATAGGTGAGCCATTCTCCGAAGACGATCTAGTTAGATAATCAAGAGGAAATTCAGGTGACACATGTGTCATAAATGATCCAGGTTTGCAGTTACTCCAAGGTGACTCAAAGTTGATTGAAAGGTAACCCAAGTTGGTTACTCAGAGGTAACCCAGGACAGAGGTAGCCTGTTGGTACGTGACCCAAGAGTGACCCGAGACGACCGACGGCGTAACCGTTCCGTCGTTACGGTTGGAACCGTAACCGTTCCGTCGTTACGGCTCGAAACAGCGCGGTTTACGGGATGAAGTCGCCAGCTGGTGAAGCGAGTAACGCGACTCGCGACGAAAATGGATAGGCTGCGACGATAACAATAGCGTCGAACGACGATGTGACAGTCAATGATCGACACCCGCAGAACAGGGAAGTCGGATCGTGATGCTGTTCCGACTGGAGGTCTTCATTTCCGCCCAGTTCTGGGAAGCGGGAGCATCGGGTGTTTTGTGGAACCATTTCAATTTTGTCGGCAGAGCGCGTCACGCCGCCCAATTCTCGCTAAGATGTCGTCGCATGAGCTGCAGCATCAGCCGGCAGATAGGATTACTGTGCAGATGATGAGCTGAATATTAGAAACCCTTCTCTGAGGTCGCTTCGAAATAGTCAGATGTATGCATCGATTCATAATGAAATAAAATGCATGCCGATGAATTGGTTTTGACAGGGTAGGTACTGCAGCTGCATCTAACTTGAAAAAGTACCCAGCATAAGTATGCATGTAGCTGCTCTCGCCGCCACCGTTAAATGACTTTCAAAAAACAATGACTGGTCATGGAATAGCTGACACTGTTAGCTTATAGAAAATTTCATTCTGCCCCAGTGATTGATATTGATGATAGGCTAAACATTTTTGCATTGAATTTTGATTTCATTTGTAAATAATGTTTACACTTTATAGACAAAATAACATTGGCCGATTCAGAAATGTGGTTGATTAGTTGCTGATTAGTTGATAAGATGGTTGCGGGAGGACGACGCAATTATTTTTGAATTTCAGACTCTGCGGGCGGGAGAGGCATTTGGAACAAAGCCATTATCTCTGGACCCACCAGGGTACGGGAATTTTGCTCTAAATAGGTATTTAGGTTTTGCGCCGTTCCGTATGTGTGCGCCTTCAACATTCTGACGGCATTAGAGACCGACTTTGTAGTGATAACGGTTACGGCCGGGATTACCCATTCGATGGCCCACAGAAGCCAATAAGGGATTGTTTTCGGGACAAATTAGGTCGTAAACTGGCTTACATACTCTATTCGGGACCGAAGTGAAGTTAACTCAGGTGCAATCTGACCTAACCCTAATATCCGGATGCACTTTCTCGGCAGAGTTCAATCGAGGATCAACGATCTAGCAATGAAAGACAGCGCTATCCAATATCCACGGCTGTGTATGGGTGTTTTCTTGCGTGCTTCCGCAGATGTAATGGCATGCTTCTTAGATATGCTGCTCAGACATATGCCAGACTTCACTAACCTTCATAGATTCGTCGGATGAAGCTGAACATCTATGCACTGTATAGCAATGCCGAGCAGTAGGACTTGCCTATACCTACATTTTCCAGAAATCTGCTTGAAAGTACCGACTTTTTCCTTATAATGCGTCAAGTATCGACTATCGTATACACATTCCGTCATCAGCTGATTTGTATGGCTAAAGCCCGTGGCGGTGAAGACCGTACTTCTAGATTGTTCTTGCAGTGTTTTACATAGTTTCAGGTATATACTGCGTCCATGGCGCACTTAATTTTTTATTGATTTTTCCGGTGTGAAATAATCGCGAAATGTTCACTCCCGGTGTTCACGGGGTGAGGCCCAAGGAGCTCAAACACTGGGAAACGAATCGAGTAACTGCAGGTTTGTGTGTGAGATCTCATTGAATTGGTTCAACGTGTAATTGTTGTAACACGGCTATAGCCCGGCTCGACATCAGACTGTGGAGGGGAAAAGTGCCTCGACAGGGAGCAATAAAGATCAAAATGCAAAACAAATTATGAAGTTTACACTAAAGTATTGTTGCATTTTTGAAGGCTTTCATGTAGCGATTGTAAGTGACTTAATACATATTTCGTTTCCATCAGATAAATTATCCGCATATGCTGTGGATTTTGAAATGATCTCAATGATTTAGCCGAAAACGGTCAAATGTTTATGATCCCAGTGGATTATCCGACGAAAGCGCGAACGAGCGAGTTGAAACTGATCAGTGAGCTCAATCAACGGGTGCCTAATCGAAATCGATTGCATATACTTCAAGCTTAATTTTTTCACACACTTCGGTACCAAGCAGAGCATACCTCTTGCACTTTGCTGAGCGGGCCATCACCTGCCTGATACATGGAAGCCCAGTGACTGCACTGTGCTGCGCTGGGTAGCACCTACCGTTAGCACCTACCTGCACTATGCTGTCCCTGTTAGCACCTACCTGCTCTATGCTGTGCCTGTTAGCACCTACCTGCACTATGTCATGCCTGTTAGCACCTACCTGCTCTATGCTGCACCGGGTAGCACCTACCTGCTCCATCGCTGTGCCGAGTAGTACTGGCGCTCCGTAGCCGCGCTGGGCCGCCGGCTGCGTGAGAATACGGCGCAGTATCGATTGGACCGGCGCTAGGGCCCACCCGGCCCGCCCGGCTGGCGGCGGCCCTCCCCCATCGCCGCCTCGGACCCTCCCCAGCTGACCCAGCAGTGACCTTCCCACTGACCCAGCTGTGACCTTCATACTGACCCAGCTGTGACCTTCCAACTGACCTAGCTGTGACCTGTCGGCTGACCCAGCAGTGCCTTCCATTTGATCCAGCATGACCCCAAAAGTGACTTTCAACCGGCCTAGCAGTAAACTTTGAAACGATTGAACAGCGACATTCTACTAGCCAAAGCAATGATAAATAGTACTTCGGAGGTACCGACAGTAATTTTTTTTTTCAACTCTTTCAACATTGCAATTGGCATGTACCCTTCTCCCACCTGATTCAATAGACCATCCTACCAACTGACCCTATGTAATTATCCACAGCTGAACCTATGGACTTTTTCCTGACCTTCTAATACTGGTGTCGTTCAGTGAGATTAGTGAGGTTAGCGAGGTCAGTGAGGTCGGTGAGGTCAGTCTGAGCCAGCCGCCCTGATCAGTGAGGTCAGTGAGGACAGTGCGCGGTGAAGTCAATGAGGTCAATGAGGTAAGTGAGATTAGTGAGGTCAGTGAGGTCAGTAGAAAGTGAGGTCAGTAAAGTCAGTTAGGCTAAAGTGAGGTCAGTAAAGTCAGTTAGGCTATAGTGAGATCAGTGATGTCAGTGAGGTCAGTAAAATCTATGAGGTTAGTGAGGTCGGTAAGATTAGTTAGCCCATCTCGGCTAATCTTGCTCGCTCAGTGAGATCAGTGAGGTCGGTGAGGTCAGTGAGAAAAGTGAGGTCGGTGAGCTCGTCCTGTTAGCTGTTCGTCGTAAGCGTGGGTGGTCTGTAGATAGGGGGTCTACTCTCGCGACACTGACAGTTCCATATGTCGATCAAAGTCCGGTATTCCAAGTTTGTCTTATGCCCGATATGGATTCAACTCAGACAAATGTGTCTGATCCAGAAGAATGTCGTACGGCTGAATTCGTTATTCATCGCCAGCTTTTAAAAACAAAAGGTATCTAGCGTCTAGCGTCTAACCGTAGTTTTATGCTTATTATTTACGCCGTAATACTGTTTCCAGAGAACGGTCAGTGACAGTTAGGGATTTGAGAGGGGACGGGAACGGGTTCGGGAGGGGCTGCAGAGCTGGGGATGACCGAGATAGCTGGAGAGAGCCGGAGAAATGGGCCCGGGGTGTGTCCGGGGACGGGACCGGGGTAGGGATAGGGTGGAGGAGGCCTGTGGCTGGGATGGGGTGTTCCAAGCGGTCAGGCAGCGGCAATGCAAGTGCATTGCCCGGGAATCGAACCCGGATGGCTGAATCATAGAGGCAAGGAACTTACCACAGCGGAGGTCTATGAGTTGTGACTGGGATGAGGTGTGCCCGGGGACGGGACCGGTGGCCGGGAGCAGGCGGGGGAGATCTGTCACTGGGATGGGGTGTGTCCGGGGAGGGACCGGGGGAAGGGGTGTGTCTGCGGAGAGGCCGGGGAAAGGGGTGTGTCCGCGTAGGTATCCGGGGAGGGACCTGGGGTCAGAGACAGGGCGCGGGGAGATCTATGACGGACAGCAGTATCTGTGACGGGCATTGGCGACGAGGGCGCTGCAGCGGCGCATCGTCGTCGTGTTAGACGCCATCGGGTGCTGGCAGTTTCCAAGAACTTTACGCACGTACTGGACGGAAAATGCGCGCCCAAGCGGAAATGAAACTGCATTAAGGAACGGAGAAGCGGTTTGTTCAACTGGCTTGGTTCCAATCAAGATACGACCGTAGGCTCAAGGCTGGATGATTCAATTCGTTTACACAGCAATGCAGCTACTGCAATCAGGGGCGTGGGAACTACTTTCAGACTGGGGGTGGGGGTGGGGGTGGGGGTGGGGGGAGGCTGGGGCACACCATTATAGAGATCAACCTAGGGTACCCCCAAATCCCAAAAAAAAGTTTTCTCACCGGTGTTAGGCCACTTATTTTTCATTCCTTGGCTTTTCCAACAAAAAAGAAAAATGCAAAAAAGCGCGATATTCCGTCATAAAGTTGTGGGGGCACCGTCCCCACGGCCCCAGAGTTGGGGGGGGGGGCAGGCTGCCCCCACTGCCCCCCCCCCCCTCCGTTCCCGCGCCTATTGCAATACCAGATGACTGCACGGTGCTGGTCATTGTCATCAAAATAACCATCAGATATATGAAGCACAAAATGGAGTAGGAGCCAATGATTTACAACTCACCGTAGCCACTTTGATCTATGGGTGGAAAATTTAGTGGGGGATCAATGCGTCATGCGAGCGCCGGCCTTTGATCTGTAACGCTCCTGCAGTCTGGAGACCACCTGGAAAACATTGTGAAATGGCCGCAACTATTAAATGAATGAAAATAAAATACAAACCAGCGAAAGTGAAATCGATGGCACATCCTCCGCTAGACCACCTTGATGTCTGTCTGCTAAGCGAATAAAATAAAACAGCTGTTATATAAGCCACAAAGGGACCATCTCGAACAGATACCTGCAATATGGCCGGCCGCAATTAAGTCACATCTGCTGTATCCTGGAGAGACAGGAAGCGATCCTCGCAAAGGAGGCCCCTTTACTGCGCCACAGAATGCATGCCAAAATGACACAAACAGTGACGCATGGTTGTATTATAAAATTACGCCGATGAGGCCGGTACCTATTATACCGTCTAAGTCGACGGCCAGTCTGTTTATGGCCTGAAGTCTGCGCTGCCTCACGCGATCGAGAAATCATGAGTCGCTTTAATCGCTCAGCGCTCCCCGGAGAACGAGGCTACTAAACCGGCCGATCGCTGGCGCTGAGCGCAGTCACCACGCCGGCCGGCGGGGCCACCGCTGCCCCTGGCGTGTCTGTCCCGTATTACCCAGCGTGCCCCGGGGCAAATCGTTAGCGGACCCGCACGCGGCGCCCGAGATACGGCGTCAAAGCCTGGCAGTGGCCGGCATCGTTACCCAAAGCCGTCGTCGAAAGCCGGATGTACAGCTATCTGATAGCAAGGCTTTGGCGTTGTTCGGCAAATGTAAGCCTCGGTGACAAATTGCCATGGCGATGTCTGGTGACACTGGACAGAGGACACCATTTCATGTGTTTAGAGCGTACACATCGTACACATATGTCCTTGACTGCTGTTTTATCGTATCGCAAACGATACGATAGCCTTTCTACGAGTTGTTAAAATTTACAATTAGTGAACAGAATGAGCTTCTAATTCTAAGCACTAAATAATGGACCTTGCGCTCATCGGGTCGGGTATCATATGCCAGATTCAAAATAAAGACACAGCGATGCATCACCTTTTCTATTACTTAATCTTCTAGTTGGTTCATGCGACGAAGCAGGATAAAAAATTGATAGTGCTCGGAGGCATCTGAACCTATAGGCCTAGACCGAAGTGTGGGGTTTGGAGTACTTACCTAAACGGCTGCCATTTCATTTGTGCTAACAAGTAGCTACTACACACATTGCTTACACTATATTCCAGTCAATACAAAATATATGGAACCTTAAGTGCTCGCGCAAGTGCACTTTCACTTGTGCTAAGGCGGGACGACGCACGAAATGGGTGCCTTGCTCGGCAGCTCGCGTTACCACCGCTAGATGGCAGGGCTATCGTACGCCTGGAATGATGCTGCACCGCAAAGCATGGCCTCGCTAGCGCACGGCTCCGGAGTCCGCGGGTGGCTTCAGCGTCAGACTCGGTGTCCCTGTGCCTTGACCTGTGTAGTGCAACCATTGCAGCGGTGCAGTGATAGTGTGGCGCGTGTGTGCTGTTGGGGGGAGCTGTCGTTGCGCGTCGTGCCAGCTGATGCGGCTGATGCAGCAACTGATGAGCCACTGGTGGCGCATCAGCGGAGTGGATGATGTCGGATGACTGTGAATGTGATAAGGTGATCTGAGTGTAATAAATGTATATTTAAAAAAAGACTCGGTGTTCCGTAGCCTACACCTTTCGCCGACCAGATGCTGCAGGAGTCGGCGAAGAGACCTGGGCTGGGTGGGAATGGTTAAAAAAAAACTATTATATTATATAGTTTTTATTTTGCTATGCAAAGGCAGCATGAATCTATTCTCATGGATTCATGTTATCTAATTATGTGTCAAATCATGGCTGAAAATCTGCAGGTGTATGGCGATCTAGTTTCGCTAAAAGCCCGGAGGTAATTTCACGAGATGGATCAGGTGTTGCAATACCCGCTGAAAGGATTACAGTACACATGCAATAACTTCAGACTAGCACAACCCTTTGAATCTAAAACCACCACACGGGTCATTCAGCGAAATGGTCTAAACTAAGTACGTACTTAACAGCTTAGTCTTGATAGCAATGCATTACAATTCCCACGAATTAACATGACAAATTTACCACGACTGTGCAAGGCGAAAACAGCCCTTCCACAAGCCTCTTACAGGGCTGAAAAATCTCATCGTTTTGTCGTTGTCGACGACAACCGAGAACGCGAGCTATGGCGACCACAACTGACACTTCAGCAGAGATCCGGTTGGATCCGGTTACGGCTGGATTAGCGCGCACCGCGCATGCCAATTCCCTCTGCCCTGTCCCCTTGGCCCCTCTCCATTCATTTTCCTCGGGGCCCCGGCTCCCGAGCCCTCCGTACGCGCTGGCGGCGATGGAAAAGTACCCATGTAGTATACATACGAATATTCCAACACCCTCTGGCTATTTAGTATATACTGCGTCGTTCGACCATCGTTTGGACGGCCAGATCGGCGACCACATAAAGGCGACCAATGACATACCGCGATTGCCAGATGGTCGCCGTGGTTGTCGGCCGCCGTTGGTCTAAGTCTGGCAACTCTAGTTGTTTTGTTGTTAGGTAGTGCATTTTAAATAGGAATGGAAATTTGTGTTTAATTTACTGTCAAAAGAATATTTTAATGCTTACAATTTTCAATTAACTAGGATATAAGTGAACAAAAATTAATAAAATCTGAAAAGTTTAAGAGCACGGCAGTGCTGTTTCCGATTAGGCGGCGTCGCAGTGCGTCGCTGTGCGTGGTGCGTGTCCCTGGTGCGTGTCTCGTGGTTGCGCGCGCAGTGCGGTTTCAAACCTTTCGAAGGGGGCTCGCGACTCGCTGTCTGCGGTCGCAGCAAGGCCTGCCAGTGCTGGTAGACAGCTTAGATACAGTGTGTATTAAAAGGCAGTGATATGAAGCCTTGGTTTGGTCTAAAGCAGGCTACGGTGAACAGTGAGCCAAGGGCCTGTCCTTGCCCTGCGAAAAAGAGAGTGAGAAGTGCTTGCAGGTGTGGACATTGCGGATGGAAAGGCACGGAGCAAAGCATTTACAAGCATACGAAAGCAAGACATCCTGGCCAGCCTGTGCTAAAAGCGTTCAACAACAGTCATTTTGGCCCTGGCAGGCGCTTTGACTGGACCCAAAGAGGCTCGGCGCATGTCACTGTTGCTGTGCCACTTTCTTCAATCTCAGGTGAGATGTGGAGCCACCTCTTCCCCTAAAAATATGAGAGGAGTTTAATGTACATACCAGATGAGAACAGATGAGCTCAGATGAAAATAAGGCTGCAATAGGGGTTGTATAAGGATGAAAGCCATTTTGGGCTGCCTGGGAATCTTTTGCAGAGGAAATCAGCTGTTTGAAAGTTGTACAGTTTTAAAGTTATGGCCCAGCAATGTTTATTTTGTAAATAAGCATTTTTGGGGAAGACAAAGCTAATGGGGAAAACCTGCATTATGATCACTAACATGTTTTTTATAAGCCAAACCTTATTGGGTGTTTGATGTATGAACTATGAAGGTTAAAATAAAGTAAAATTTAGAGTTTGCCAATCATGGAAAATGCTTTTTTTGCTTTTTTCATTGACCTACAGCACACTATGTTTTGTTAACTTTTGGAAGTTCACCAAATGTCTGTTGTCAAAATTCTGGTGCGTTTTGTGGCATGCCTGGCTGCTACCTACTTCATATTTATATACCTTGTCAGAGGCTTGAAATTAGATACATTTCTCCTTCAAAAGCTTGCTTATGAATTGTTTCCCCTATCATGGCAACACAAAATCTCCATGAAATAGCATGAAGTCCATGCATATTGAAATCATGTTGATAAGTATATTGCATATGCATACAAGATCACCATTGTTTCTACCCTAGTTAGAGGCTTGCAACTATATACATTTCTTTATAAATTTGCTACGATTTGTTTGCCCTATACAATTAGGTAATGATGGTGTCATGAAATCTACATGGAATAGCATGAAATCCTTGTATTTTGATATTATGTGTCCATAGGCATATTGCATAGGTATGCGTTCAAGACCATGTTTTGTACTAAAAACTGTGAAAGACCAGTGATATTTGTAGTATAATGGAGATGCTGGTGTTTGCTGTTGGGTACAAACATTTCATCCCTCATGTCTCCTTTTTCAGGACAACGTGGTGCACCATCCAGTGCGCCTAACTCTGGGACGAGTCCTGCCTCGTCAGAGAGGGAGGCTATGGACGATCCTACCACTCCTATGGACGATCATCCAACCACAACTGGAACTGCAGCACCTGATTTGGAACCTGAGCAACGTGAAGGTATGGTGTAATTATGATTCTTCATTTGTTGTGGCATTTCCGGTGAATTTTGAACTTACACTTTCTGTTTTCAGGGTTTTTATGTTAATCCGCGCATGACTGGGGGGGGGGGGGGTATCTCCTGAACCATTAGACGGATCAACACTTAACTTGCGGTACCCTCGGCGGCATCAATATGACACCTTGTGTTCAAAGTGTTCCTGAGCTCAAACTGCATCCAATAGACACCTTTTTTGTTGAAAAATTTTAACTTCAAAAGTTGACCTTTTCTGACCTGAAATTGACCTGACTTCCGGTAAATTCAGCTGAAAATGGCCTCAAATGACACGGAGAACATTATTTTCGAAATCTACGTGTAAAATGGACCATAAAACATTCGTCACGTGACCGATACATGATATACAATTTTCGTGACCTAGGATGACCTGGCCATGACCTTAAAAATTCGAAGTAAAAGTTCGGTACCCTCAGGGTTTCAGGGTATCTAAGGCATATATCAAGGAGTGCGTGAACCAAAAATGAGCCTGATCGGACTTGTCAGCCGGCGGCCAGAGCCTAAATTGTAAGCAAGCAAAAAGCCGATAGTTTTACTTTGACCTGACCTGTGACGTCATCGGTGACCTTGAGGTCAATGAAAATAGGTTTCGTTCGACAGTTTTTCCAGGGCTATCAGACGCCGTTTGAATTTTGACGATCGGCCCATTCGTTTCGGAGATAGGAGGGGGGGGGGGCTCTGGAGAGCCCCCCCCCGTCCCTCGCGTTATGGAAAATACCCCAGTCATATGCAGGTTAATTGCAGGCTTTTATGTAAGATAACTCAAATGTTAGCCATTTTGAAAGATATCTTCATCTCTGAAACCCCTCTCAGAAATGTGTATCTGTTAATAATTATTGATTAATTGAGTATTCATTTATCTCAGTGCAGAATTGAAATTTTATAGCTTGGGTCAAGGAGCTGAAGCCCTCTCGGGTTTCCATGGTTACTGAGCATCAATACCGTTTAAGCGTCAGACAGATTCATTGCTCTGAAACAGGGCCATGCAAGGGTCAGTTATGTACCCGTGGCTCCAATTTCCTATTGTTCGGCGCGCAGATGTCGCTGGGGCGCTGCCAGACCGCAGCGACATCTATTCCACAGACTGCCGACTCTATAAAACTGGCACTTCTTACAAATGCTTTTTGCATGCACCTTGTTTGTTTTCAGCTGTAGTCCATATCTCCGCTGGTGAACCTTCTAAAGAAAGGAGTTATCGCCAACATCAACCAAGCTCTTCCACAGACATCGGCCACCAGCGACATACCTCTGACAAGACAGGTGTGTAATCATGCGGGGGGTAAGGGGGCGCCTCGAGAATCGGAAAGCGCCGCCGATTCATACCTCAATCCAAAAGTGGTTGTGAGTCGTGACTAGTAAAGCAGCCCATACGCAAGTATGTATGCATTACATATCAGATTGGTGGAATACATCAGCAATTTGCCCTGATAGAAGACCAGTCTTTGCCCTTAACTGTGTCAAAATGAATCTGACTTCAGACATGCACTGTGTAGCAATTTGGTCCATTTCCATTAGACAGACAATGCATCGTCCTGAAAAAGTACGATAACAATACCTAATTCTGGGTGTTTAGTCGGCCGATCCGCCCCCTCCCCTGTCGAAAATCCGTGGCGACGCCCCTGTGTGTGATGAAGTTACTTTGGGCTGCAATTATTACATAAAAAATTCTCATCAGCATTTCTCTGTTCCATAAACACACGTCTATACATAAAACTCAACGAAATGCAACATGTCTATGACACAAAATTGTTAAAATCGGGAAAAATTATGCCTTTGGCGACCTATAGTGATGTCAGCACTAGAATTCACCACCTCAGCATTGACGTGACCAAAAAGTGACCGTTATTCGTCTGAATAGGAGCTATCGTTTTTTTCTTCGTCTTTTTAATCTTCCTTAGCTTTTGCGATACCCACCTGATGGTATGTGGCCGAAAAGTTACCAACCACCATGACGAAGTTCGCTGAGACAGACAACCGGGCGCGGGTTAAGCTATGAAACGCAATGCAGCTGAAATAATTCGCTTATCACATGCGTTACAGGTCTCGGAGTGTCGGTGGAGTGCAGACTACGACGCATCGAGGAGAGCCTGCTAGAAGTGAAACAGACGCTAAAGGGTGGCCAGCGAGAGTCACGTGTGTGTGCCGACAAGGACACAGAGGCGCGCATTAACTCGGCACGTGACATGGATTCTCTTCTTGAGGCGGTTTCTGATCACCGATGGGTTGCGATGCCGGATCGTAACATCGTTGTTTGCGAGCTGTGCGTCCCAAACATGGGTCCCGAGGTCGAGCTCGATCGAAACAAAAACAACGTCCATGGTATATGCCGCTATACCTTTTCAGCCGGAACCTCTTTTCCACGGCCAATGACGATACCAAAGCCGTTTACCCGTCTGAAAGAGTCTGTGAAACACCACATCGCATCCAAAAGGCACAGAGATGCTGTGGAAAAGGCCAAGAGAGACTCGGCACATGCTGAAACACGTGAGCGTTTAAGGCAAAGTGCTTGCAGAAACTCCTTGATGGCGGCATACCACGTTATGAAACATTCTCTGGCCCGTGTGATGTACGAAAACACTATAGTGCTTTGTGATCTCACTGGATCAAAGATGGGCGATCTTTGCCACTCTGGTCCCCAAATGCAGCGCTTTAGGCATGCCTTCAGTGACGTTGTCCTGGATCATGTAGCACGCTACGTTGAGCGGATGCCCTGCGTTGGTATTGTGGCGGACAAGGTGACAGTACAGCACCGGACTGTGGACATCACCGGGATATTAACGCTTGTCCCAGAAGCTCATTGCGATGAGCTAATTCAGAGCTTTGTAATTGGTGCCCCAGTGGTAGCGCACCATGATGGCGAATCCCTTGCGGAGGAGTGGGTGAACACTGTGAAGCGAGTGAACATTCAGGACACGGCTAAAATAGCCGCTGTCTGTACAGATGGACAATACCACGGTGCCGATGTTCCTGCCAAATTCTTGGCGAAACTGCAGTCCAGCCACTCGGACTACGCGGCGCGTTCAAGATCACCATCCGTTCCGTGCTTGTGGGACAACGCGCACTTACTGGACCTCGCCGAGAGCAGTGCGAGAAGGGAGCTGTCTTCCAAGTGGGTGGATGATGTGGTCGACGCCATCAGCCGCGTCGTTAAACGGTTTTCCTACGGGAAAGGCCGCGAGGTTTTCATAGCGGCGGGCAAACGCATGGGGATAGAAACCAGAGGCTTGCTCCTTTGGTCAGAGACCCGTTTTTCCCCTCACGCTGCCAATGTCATCGAGGCATTCGTCACAAACCTGCCGGTACTGGCAGTCGCTCTGGAGGACCAGCTAGTGGCCAGCTGTGCCTCAGCGGGCAGCCGTACAGTTCAGCAAGCCGAGATCAAGCAGGACATCAAACTTCTGAAAGGTAATAACCGTAAATTATATTAAACATGGCTGTTCTGAACTCCAGAGCGTTAAATATTTCATGATTTGCTACGCAGAGATTTTCACAAGCATTTAATGCTATTACCAATCTTGATAATAACAAGTTAAATTGTTTTGTTTATCGTGTGTATGATACCACACGATTAATATAAAATAGCTGGTACCTGACTCGCGATGGAATGGGGCTGCTTAGGTAAATAATTTAAAGTGCCTTCTATGAGTAACACTGTTCTGTGACGCGCCTGCTTTAATGTGAAATTGCTGGCTTTCAGATGCGTCATTTCGGGCGCGCCTACTGGCGCTGCTAGATCTCTACTCGGTTATGTCGAGGACAAGCAAGTCTCTTCAGAACCTTCAGCTACTCCCATGGCAGCGTCAGAACACGTACGAGGAGATGGTGAATGACCTTGGCGAGAAAAGGAAAAAGCTGGGCTTTTTTCAACAGAGAGGCTCCGCCGCAATGTCTGCACTTCAAATCCAAGAAATGCTTCAGGAAGGCGACGACGATGACATGGCGGCGTTCTGGCCGAACCTCTCCAAATGCGGCACAAACCTGCCTCAGTCAGTGGTAAGTGAGACGGAACTAACGTCGTGGTAATAGTATGCACCATCAGTCGCCCGCGTGATAATTGTGTGCAACTCATTACGCATAAGCACAACATACAGACAAGATTGGATGGCTTCATTGTGATATCATTTAAGAGAATGGAAGGACGGGTACAGACACCTAATCACTTTGAAATTACCATTTGACCCGGTAAAAATGTTTTGAGTTGCCTTGATCATTGATACTTCTTTCACTCGCGGTTGATGCCTATTGATCATTAGAATATTAAGGCACTCAATAAATGGATTTCTTTATCCTGGTGGGTCATCGACTGATGCTCACACGGGCGCAAAATGACCCAATTAGTCGGTGCGCCCTCACGCCTCAATAAAATCGATGCTCAGAAAGAAAGTGGCTTGCATTCAGAATGGTTATTGTCCACGATATATGATAATTTATAATGATCTCTTATTTTATAGGTGAAGGAAATATTGGCGTTCACGCGAGCCCTGGAGTCTCACTGCGCCAGCAGAGAACATGGTGTGGACGCCAGAGGGCGGACGCGGGGCTGCCACAATCTGCAACTGAAGGAGAAGATGGTCCAGGTCAGACAGGCAGCAGATCTCGAGAGGCTTCAACAATCTCCCACCTCATCCGCCATCACCGAGGTAGGAAGGGCGCTGAGTGCCCTGCAGCACGCTTCGTTGATTCCAACCGCTCCGATTCCCTGGGAATCAGTCGCTGCTACTTTCAAGGAACTGAAAAGCATGCAGCATGGCACCAACCAGAAACTGTTCAAGGAACTCTGGCTCAGGGATGACCATCGTCTCCTGCCTTACTTGAGTGTAGTGGCGCGTCTGTGGCTATTGAGCCCGTCCGAAAGCGTAGTAGAGAGTATGGCCTCGGTGGTGAAGGCCGTGTTCGGTGTATCGTCGTCCCGCGTCCTTGACCATGGCAACGCCGAAAAAGAGCTCATCGTTAGATGGAACGGCCCTAGCGTGCCGCAGGCTGACGGTCTAATAGCGGCAGTCGTGCAGAAGTATCCTCACCTGGATAACTTCGTCAGGTCCACGCTGTCACAGCAGGTGGAAGGCAAAGTGATAGCCCGCCACAAAGCTCACAGATGTGCAAAATCGCATATATATCCGCGCACTGCACCGAGCTAAGTGAAGAGGTGTGTAGTGCGATGTGATAGCAGTAGCTCCCATGTGTTTGCTGTATCTATTCTGCACCCTTGTAATGTTTCGTTGTCCTCGAATGGTGTTACAGTCACGTGCTGAGCAGCATATAAGTGATGATACATTGGAGGCTGTCAGAGCCCAGCTCACTCACTTTTGACATTGGTTGTAAGTGAAATGAAGTGTACTTGGATGTAAAATCAATGAAGTTTTACATTTGTAAATTGCCATTGTTCCGCAACAATATTACCAATACACCATGCTTGTGTATCTGCAGCGCTATTTGTCATTGCTATGCTTTGTGACCTTTTTACGCATACGTCTATAACATTTTTTGCAATATCTGTAAGACCAACCTTACAGTTAAAAATAAACAGTATATATATATATATATATATATATATATATATATATATATATATATATATATATATATATATATATATATATATATATATATATATATATATATATATATATATATATATATATGTATATATATATAAATATATATATATATATATATATATATATATATATATATATATATATATATATATATATATATATATATATATGTATATATATAACCAAAAATCATGCATATAGAGGACACAATATACGGTACCAATGTAAAGTTGGTTCCACAGGTCATTATTGAATACGACAACCAATATCAGCATTTTTTCATTTGGACGACAACCACGAAAGGACTTTTTTCAGCCCTGGCCTCTTAAAAACTGTTCTTCGGTGAACATAAATTACGTTGGCTATTGACTTTCTCCAATCGAAGGTACGGATGTTCCAGCCCAATGCCCCAGTGACTTCCAGTTCTGCACCGGGTTACTGTGCCTTACATGGTCTTACACCAAACATTTTAAACATACCTATTGGTGGTGGTGCCACGCATGCCTAGTTTTGCCAGGATAATGCTCCTAATGCATTGACATTATACGAGCATTACAACGAAAATATGAGCACCGAACAGCTCTAGCGTAATTATGCCTCCTTAAAAACAGTTGCTAAAGTTCGAAACATATTTTCAAACTTTTCGCGCTCGTTCAGTTCACCCTATGAAATGATAATAATTCAATGTCGTGAGACACAAAGATGGCACTCTATTAAACGGGTTTGGTGGTGGGCAGCTGGGCCATACATCAAATGCCTTCATCTCCACACATTAATCACTCTGGCCTTTAATGAAAGAGGGGCTGCCCAAGACGTTGCGCGCCGGCGGCCGCTGGCGTGCCCCGCATCGTTAGTCGTTATTGGCTCGCGGTCGGGCCGGCGTTTCATCGAGTGCAGGTATTCGCAATTAGCGACGCTGGTATAACGAGCCCCGACAGCCGGGTTTTGTAAGCCGAGCGCGACGTCTAACATTAGCCCGACCTTGGGAGTTGCAAATGAAGTGTCTGGACGAGTTCCAGAAAAGTTTGCGACAGACATGGTGGTGTAGTTGTAATCGTGATTCCAAATTAGAGCTGGTGTTATATTACATGCAGCGTCACGGGCTCGTTGATATGGTCAACCATCAACATGGATGCAACTTCACTTTATGTATAGTCCATGTGAACTTCAATTTGGCGGGAATATACCAATTAGCAACTTTATCACTAATGATAGTGATATGAGAGAGCGTTGAGCATGAATACGTCATTTATCACTGTAGGGGAAGGTGGGGTAAGACGGCCCAGCGGGGCAAGACGGACCACCAGCCCTCCCAGCTGAACCGCTGCTGGTATCTACTGCTTTATGCACTCACTATGTTTGTTTTCCTTCGTAACAATGGCCACCTTGAGCTCATGCTGCTAGGATGCATAGCTTTTGAGTTATTGAGAAAAATGTTGTTTTTCGTCAAACCGATCTAATATAAGAGGTCTACGGGTGATTCAATTACGGCGCCTTTCTTGCATGATAAGTTTCTATTTTGCACTTAACTGTGAAGAACAAAGTTATAAACTTAGTTATAGTCACACTTTAGGAAAGGCAAGGTTTTGCAATGTTGGGCTATTTGACATATACGTCATGATAATGACAGAATTTAGATTTGGGGCAAGACGGACCACTGTGGTCCATCTTACCCTGTGGTGGTCCATTGTACCCTGCATATGGAAAGTTCTTTTCCAAAACATTGACAAAAGTTTGAGTAAGCTAATTTTTCAGGAAGGAGTCTTTGTTGCATGTGAGCCATGCATGCAAGTGCTTAGTTAGCATGCATTCATGCCAAACGACAATCAACACACATGTTCCCAGCTTTTAGCTGCACTTCCATCACACATGGGTAAAGAATAAAGGCTCATTTGGTTATTTTACCATTCTGGTTACTTTTTCTTACAAGAGTAGGGGAGAGTGGGGTAAGATGCCCAGGGTGGGAAAGACGCCCCACCCCCACTAGCGGCGAAACAAAGAATCGAACCTGGAAATTAATGTTCTTAGCGTAAAGCGGAAGCCTGCCTTGTTAACTGCACAAAAATTTGCGAGGCTCAGTTGGGCAACGGCTGGCTGGTGATTGCATGTTTTTTATTTGCTGCTTTCAAAAAATATTTTGGTGTCAAAACATTGTAAATATCAAAGAAGGTAGATAATTTTTGCGTCCCTTGCTATAGTCGTGATAAATTAACATGCGTGTACTGTGTCCCAAACAGTTTGTTTCAGGGTGTAGTTTTATGGCTAACAAATTGTACTGATTTAATGTTACCTCGGTACCTTGGGGTAAGATGCCCCCTGTCCTGATGGGGAAAGACGCCCCCCTAAATCCGTAGGCTGTCCTTCAAGCAGCCCGTCAAATCATTTATTACATACCTGTGATGAGAGACAAAAGCCGATCTGGGACTATTGAGAGTCCAGTACGGTCGGGTGCTCCCCATGCCGGTCTCTCGGCCCACACAGCGACTTTTTGGGCGGCATCTGACTCTGAGAGCCCTTACGACGGCCTCTGTGGGCCACATTATTGGCTCCAGGGCCCCTCACGACATCCTTTGAGGGCTCCCACATCAGTGGCGGCGAAAGGTATTCTAGGATAGGGGTGCAAACGATATTGAAGCGCCCCTTCCCGCTGGGCGCCCCCCAAACGATGTGCTCGCCAGCCGCACGTAAGTAGGTACTGGTCCTACGCACCGGACAGCTGCACGCGCAGACCCCACGGGCTCGCCAGCTGCTCACACTGGTCCCACGGACCGTCGGCTGCACGCACACGCCGCCTCGGCTCGCCAGCCGCACGTAAGTACTGGTCCCACGGACCGCACAGCTGCACGCGCAGACCCCACGGGCTCGCCAGCTGCTCACACCGGTCCCACGGACCGTCGGCTGCACGCGCACGCCACCTCGGCTCGCCAGCCGCACGTAAGTACTGGTCCCACGGACCGCACAGCTGCACGCGCAGACCCCACGGGCTCGCCAGCTGCTCACACCGGTCCCTCGGACCGTCGGCTGCACGCGCACGCCGCACCGGCTCGCCAGCCGCACGTAAGTAGGTACTGGTCCTACGGACCGGACAGCTGCACGCGTAGACCCCACGGGCTCGCCAGCTGCTCACACCATTCCCACGGACCGCCAGCGACATGTACAGGCCCCCTGGGCCCACCAGCCGCATACACGCGGCACAAGGACCACTGCTGTCCCGGCACCGCACGTCTTCTTCGGACCGGCCAACCCACTTCATGGTCTAACGTCTCGCCGTCACATAAGAGTAGGAATGGAGCAGCTCAGTCCGGCCAGCCAACGCCCGGCCCTGCCACTGGAACGGAATAAATGCCGCCCCCTCATTGCCGGGCGCCCCAGGAGAATGAATGTTACACATCAACACCAATATGCCTCCCAGTGAAATGCATTACGAATGTCGCCTTTCGACACCGGTAGGCGCCCCAGACACCAGTGGATTTACTGCCGCCTTAAAACACCGATAGGCACCTCAGTGAAGCGAATGCCGGCCTATACCACCGATAGGCGATAAGCGCCCCGGATGAATAAATACCACCCGTCAACGCCGATAGGCGCCTCAGTGAAATTAATGCCGCCCCAATCTCCGATAGGCTCCCCAGGTGATACATGTCGCCCATCAGCACCAACGGGCGCCCCATTTAAATGAATACCGCCCTTCAACACTGGCAGACGCCCTAGTGGAATGAATGCCGCCCCACAATGCCGATGGCCGTCCCTGCACTGGAAAATCAGTTTCGCCCCTATACAGGCGCCCATAGAAGTTTGCAGAGTGCTATTCCTGGTCATAATCATCTCCCAAGTAAAAAAAAAAAAAACACACACACAAAATACGCCCAAGCACTAGGGGTGTAACCGCCCATACGGACAGTGCAATTTTACAGGCCCCAATCTCGGACCTCCCTTAACATTCATATGTTTTAAACGGCAAACCGCCCCCGATAAATGTTACACAAACTGATTTCCTCTCGTATATCGGCCATCAGGCGCCCCTTTTTGTCGCATGGAGCCTGCAACGCTATAAGCCCTCATATGTTCGTGTTGGCGTTCGGAGGCTACCTCTTTCGCATGCAGGCGCCCCTCTTCCGCATGGCGCGCTTCTCGAGTGGCTGCGCCCTCCTATCCTTTATCGCCTGGCAAGATTATATTCGACAGGGTCGGCAGCATCTGCCTTTGTTTCAGATAAGGATGCCCTCCACTCTTCAGCATATCAAAAGATACTTTTCCCACGTCATTGCCACCCTCTTCGTGTCACAAGTGCCTTTATCAGTTGCGGTGTCGCACTGCTCAGCTTTATGGCTGCCGCACCTCTTAACTTCCTGCCTCCTCTACAGATTTTCGAGGCGCCCCTTTCCATAGCTTTAGGGTGCAGCTGCCCCCCTTGCCCCCCTGCTTCCGCCGCCACTGTCCCACATTGGCTCCACGGGCCGCGCTGGCATCTGAGGTCCCCACGATGGGCTCGAGGGCCCTCAAGCATCATGAAGACCTATAAGGGCCCCACAGTGGTCTCCGAACGCCACCACAGAGGCTTGTTTGGCCGCGCTGGACTATGATAGCCCTAACGATGACCTCTGAAGCCCCTTACGACTACTTTTGAGGGCCCTTGCGATGACGTTTGGTGTCTACTGCAGGCCCGAAGGGACTACTGATTCGTTCAGGCGATTCACGTGCCCATTTATGTCACTTATAGTGTAGGGGGCATCTTACCCAACGCCAGGGGGCGTCTTTCCCACCCTGTGGGGTAAGATGCCCCCTTTCACTTCTTCAGGAAAATGCTTAATAGCAAAAAAAGTTATCATATTTCAAGCACGAAAGTGTGATATTTTTGGAGAAAAATGATGTCGGCTTCCGTTGAAACTACAAGTTTTTGCTTTCCGATCGTCATTTTCGAATAATATATGACATAGTAAAACCCTGGGCATCTTTCCCCACTCTCCCCTACAGAGCAGAAGTGTAACACACATGAACGGATAGCAGGCACTGCTGGGTGGTCCGTCTTACCCCACGTTTTTTCTTGTCTGAGTTTTTGACATGTCCCTCTTTAAGAGCATCCACCACCTAGATATCTTTAATTTGAAATTTAGTCTTTACACATATCAACAGAGGAAGGATTGAGCATTCCGAAGACTATAAATAATATGAATTACGAGAGCAGTGTAGCAAGATATGCGGCCTCAAACCTTAGCTGGTCCGTCTTACCCCACCTTCCCCTACCTATCGGCCGTCATGGAGATTATTTAATGGAGAACCATTATCAGTTTGATGTTAATTAGCGTGTGTATGTTTAAGTATGTGCATGTTTGTATGCTAGGAGTTACCAACAACCCAATCCAAGCACCCAGCATATCAATGATATATACCATCTTTAATAGTTAATAACAGCACTCGAATACAACTGAAAATACTTTCAAATGTTGACAAGCCGTGAACCAAACTGTTGATCTTCGTCCGTTTTGATGTTTGATCCCAGCCGCTAAAGTAGGGGAAAGGCGGGGGTCCATTGGACCTCCAGCCGTTTGGCCCCTGATCGAGCTAGGGTTTCACGAGACTACGAGTATGTTGCCCGTGACGAGAGAAAGCCGATGATAACCACAAAGCTGATGTTATTATAGGGCTTGTCGGGTCCTGATTTCAAATTTCATGTTAGTTTTGATCAAACATGATGTATTCATGCAGTTTGGATAGGTCGGGTCAGGTCAGGTCAGGTCAACCAGTAGACATCCCATCGGCTACCTTATGCGTTAACTACCCCTGTCAGCTTTGCAACATGCTGCAGAGGCGCCAAAACTATAAGTTCTCAAATCTTCAAATTAGGTGCTAATTTCGGAAATAAGCTCTAAAACTGGAATATTGTGAACCGAGCCAAAACAAGAAGTGTTCAACTCTTCCAATAGGTGCTTTATTCGAAATCAGCTCTAAAACTTAAAAATTGTGAAACTCGAAAATTTCAACCGAGTTCATCTAAGGTCAATGACCTTGACCTGACCTTTAAATGACTGTGACACCCCTAATTCAATATACCCTGGTGACACCTACCACGCAACCGGTCACACAACTGAAAACTCCCCACGCCTGTGCGACAGCGACGATCACACAAGAATAAGTCACTGCTCATCACCCATCACCGTCTCTGCCTTTGCCGTGCCGCCCCTTTGGCTTTACCGTCTCGCCCCTTTGGCTTTGCCATGCCGCCGCTTTGCCGTTGCAGGGCGCCGCCCCGCCGTTGCAGGGCGCCTCCGCCGCCTCCTCCCGGTCTCCCTGGTGCCACTCTGACCACTGCGATCAATAGAATTTGGCGGTCCTCCAAGCGACCAGCGGCGGCCCCACTCTGTATGAGCTCCGAATCCGATCCAGCCATTAACGCCGGCCGGCTGTGTCCCCAATGGCGGGGCATTTGCGAACCCACCGGCCCCCGTCCCGGCACCCCAGTCGCCGACAGTGGCTCCTCCCTCCCCAATTCCGTCCCTTCATATCCCAAGGCTCACCCAATCCGGGCTTTCAGGGCCAGCTTAAATGCTGCCATTATTATGGGTCAGCTTTCCCGGTTATAGGGTTGGCCGGGTTATCTTTGCGCGATATGATGGCGGCTAGAAAACGCCCGGCATACGGAGTCTTCATATGGTGACGCAATGAACTCCTTACCCGGCCGATTTCATAAAAATATCAGACGGAGAGAGAAGCACGAGACGGTCGGCAGAGCGAAATATCTGGCGGAACGAGAGAGCAAAGGTACTTACTTACCATAGAGTTAAACGGTGCCAGATAACGAAATGAAAAATGAAGGAACGAATGTTAGACCATGAGCAAAGCGAGGCCGATATCGAAAGTAGGTATGAAGAGAAAGAAAGGAAAATGAGAAAAGAAGAGAGAGGCAGAGAGCTAACGAAAGATAATAGATAAGAGAGAGAGAGAGAGAGAGAGAGAGAGAGAGAGAGAGAGAGAGAGAGAGAGAGAGAGAGAGAGAGAGAGAGAGAGAGAGAGAGAGAGAGAGAGAGAGAGAGAGAGAGAGAGAGAGAACGTGCGAAAGAGACTTATACTCCATGGTACTCCTTGCATTCTACACCATGCACATTGCATGCAACAAGAAGATTGCAGTTGACGAACTGGATGGAACTAAATCATCAAGCGCCCAATCGCGCTATCTACAGCAGTGCGGGCCGAGGTCGCTGCGGATCGCTCTGACATGCACAGCCGGCCCACCACTACAGGGCCATTGATCAGGACCAGACAAAGGGCCGCCATCGGCACTACCATGATCGATGTGTGACGGGCGCCGCGAGCTGTGTGCCATGGAGTACCTATTAAGCGCACAGACCGACAAGGTCACTGTCGGTAAGTGATTTTTACGGGAGCTTACCAGGACAATGCTACCCAAAAGTCAAAAGTGGCCCGTTGACCAACCAACTATTCTGCTGAATGCTGTTCGATAGGTTAGACTCGAGACTCGTTGGGTTAGACTCGAGATGACCCTGAACCTGAAAAGCTTGCGCCGATGCATCGCTCGCCACTGCTATCGGTTTTCCGCGTGCCGAGACCGGTGGCGTAGGTGGTAAGACTCCTCCAAGACAAGACGGGCTGATAACGTGTTGGCCAATAGCCGACATTCAGCCGAATTCCTTCATTCCTCACGAGTTCATTTTTATGCTCATATCACCGCCTCACAAACTCCTTTCGGCAATCAAATGCCCATCACCCTGGAAGCAATTCCCAGGTATTTGATTTCCATCTACGTTCCAATGGTCGCGGGAACTCGGCCGGTTATTCCGAACATAGTCTGATCCAGCCATGCCACAAGATCGCTTTCATTTCCGTTACCACGAAATAAAGCCTGATAGACTGAGCGACTGAGCGTATCCGCGGCAATAAAGCCTGATTGTCCGGGCGACCCCCGCGGCCCGTCTACGATCGGTCGGCAGCTCGGCTGGTCTCAGCTGACTGTCCACGCGCCGCGCAGCGTTCCACACCAGGCCGCGCAGCAGCCCGCTCCGCAGTCCGCGCGGACCGGCGGCGGCCGCCCGTGCAGGGGCTTACCTGACTGGCCGGCCGCCGTCCCTGCAGCCGCCAAACCTCATCGTAACCAAATCCGAGATGAGCTTTCTGGAACCACGCACGCCGGCCCACAATGTTGATGTTGCTATTGATTCAGGCAGCCGGAAAAACAAACGGTGCGGGGCTGCCATCTAGGCGCCACAGTGCGAACTTCAGGTGCAGCCCTGCCCCAGGGTTGAGCTTAGGTCAGCATTTGAAGCGTTCGCCAAAATTTGCCAGAAATGGCTTTAAATGTAATTGTCCGAGAGTAAAGTTAGAAACGTTATTTACGTTACTATGGGCTGAAACGTTGCGTTACAGAATAACTCAATTAAATTCGATCATTCATTCATTCATCAAATGTGTGCGGCGCCACAAAAACTCCTGCGCAACTCCGGAACTCAAACGAAATGCAAATCCATCACAATCACAATCATCTCCATGACTTCATTCCAGGACCTCCATTTCCTGCACCACGACCACATATCTTCCATCTACTTCCGCTTTCCCTTCTTCTTTTTGGCCATGGCCTCCTCGTCGTACTCCTCCCCGGTGTAGAGTTTGTAGAGCAGCGGTAGCGGCGCGGCCATCCTCAGAGGCAGGTAGCCCGGCGGACGCAGCTGCGTGGCCGCATCGTGCGTGCGCTCCTCCACCGGCGACGCGCTGCCCTTCTTACCCTTCTTCGGCTTCTTCTGCTTTGGGGACTTCTTCTTGGCGGCCTTGCGGTCGGGCGGCGGCTCGGGCGAGGGCAGCCGCAGCGTCAGCGGTCGGTTGATCTTCCATTCGAGCCGATAGGGAGCCTCGACGCGGGGCCGCAGCAGCAGCTGAGACACGAACGAGTGGCTGAAACTGGCAGACATAAACAGCAATATTAGGTGAAGTTAACTAACACAATGTAACACTATGTAACACAATGTAGCTAACACAATGTAGATTGTAGAGTATAAACAGTTAACACATATTCATCACACAATCACAATTTGAGCATGCAAAACATGAGCTGCACGCGCTTGGGTCAGTCGTTAAGATCGACTTAAGATCTGTAACTAACAGCCATCACCATGTCAGGAGCATTGCGCACATTTTAGTGAGGTACTCGCGGAGGTTGGAGAGCTGCTGGTGCGTGAGGAGCGGCTTGTTGGGGTTCGGCCACTCCTCCAGCTGCCTCATCAGGTAGCGGACGCCTCCCGTCTGACCGCCGAACTCGGCTTCATACTCGCCTGGCGCACCGCACCGCCGACAGAGGTCAGTACCGAGTCAGGGCAGCGGAGGTCCGTAGCGAGTTGCGACCGACAGGGGTCACTAGTAGGTTAGAGAGGCAGAAGTCGTCAAAGGAACGGGGCGACAGAGGCCACCGGGAGGTCAGGACGCACGGAGGTTGGATCTACCCTACTGACGGCAGGAAGGCAGGGTCAGGAATCACGATGGCACGGCTCAACGGCGGGTCCGACTATCCAATGGTTATGTCAATAGATCCTCAAGATGTATCGCACCAAACGATTTTATTTTTGTGTCTATGAAGTATGAACTATGACCGCGTCAGAGCGAGTAATCGGGAAGAACGTCTACGCAGCACGCACGTATGACGCGTGTCTGCACTGTTGTCAGAGCAACCAGTACCTCTGTGGCAGGCCAGGGCGAACTTCATTGCCGTGATAGACATGCCGAGCTGCCTGGCCGTGTACTTCACCGGCTCGCCGCCAGGTGGCAGCACGGGCGAGGTGCCCATCAGCTCCATGACGCCGTTGGTGAAGTAGTCGGCCTCCCACTGTTTGATCCAGTCGTGGCTGGGATGAGGCAGCTTCAGGTAGTTGGCCACGGTCCTGTGAGGCAGAATGCTTTGTTAGAAAAGTAATATAGCGATATTTAAACTTTTTATCACGACATACCGTAACATAGATAATGCTCATAGAAGTTAACCGTGAAACAAGCCGACGTCGTGCCTAACTTCAGCTCAATTTCTGCCACATAATCATCACGGCCGCCAGGTCGGAACCGACTTATTTTATCACGCAAGCTATCAAAATTGTAAGTGATTTTGAATCTTCGAAAAAGCAAACATGACCGAAGACTTGCATGACCCAAGTACTTCGTGACCGAGATACGGAACCTTTACGGAGCCACCAAAGCTTCCATGACTTCCACTTACTGTGCTATATCGGCCGGCGCCTCTTGTTGGAGGATGATGGTGGCCTGGGCCTCGTCAACGATGCTGTTCTTGGAGAGGGTCGACCTGATAAACTCGTCGAGCCGGTTCTTGTCCGCCGTGGGTGACGAGCGGCGCTGAGGCATCCTGACTTTTCCGTCTCCGCTGTTGACGATGCGGTATCCAGTGGTACTCCGGTAGATCCCTGGTCAGGGATAGTCACTTCCAAAACAAAATTATTGCGGTTAACCAGCCAGTCTTTTACACCCTTTGCCTACCAGACTGGCAACAGCCCTGCAAGATGTCCAAAGGACTTGGCTGTCCGTCTTCCACACCAAGTTCCACACCAATAATCACCGAAGGCCATATACGTTTAATCACCGAAACACGTCACGTCGCCACACATTCACATTCCTTGTGCCTCGCCGATTCCCACGACACCCCCGAAAAGTGAAGAAGCACGTGAATACTCCCGAGAGCCTCCTCTACCATCTTCCAGAATTATACATACTTGTACAGAAAACAGACGGCTTATGCTCAAAGTTGAAGGTTCACGCAGACCCGAATATATTTACCAAATATAAGTCACAATCATCTCAAATTTTATGAAGACGACTGCAAAGATGACATATGCGTTATAGTCTCCCGATGGATATTAGCATCGCATAAACCTGACTGTTAAGTATATTCATTAGCCGCGAACTTCCACTCCATCTGCCCTTCACAATATTATCAACGCGCCGGGTATAATATCAAACTAAGAATCACCACCGCTCCATTTCCTAACGACTGAAACAGACTCTTTCCGCGTTCAGGAAATCGCATGCGAGAGCCTATTCAAATACATTATAATTCTTTCCGCATCAATCGCATCCGGGAGGTGCGTGCGATTGATGCGAGCGTGCTTCCATGTATTAGAATAGGCTCTCGCATGCGATTTCCTGACTGCGGAAAGAGTCTGTTTCAGCCATAAATCCGACTGTCCATTTCCAGCGACATCAGCAGTCACACAGCGCGTGTCTTTGAACACTTTTATTGGCAATTATTAACGTCTGTTGACGTTAATTGCGGACGGCCATCCGACATATACTCGGCTCAAAGGGGCTGCGACTCGGCCAGTCGAGGGAGACCCCCCCTCACGACGGTCGCCGCGACACTCTGGTATGGTGATCACCCGGTCTGCCCGATACGATACCCATTCAGTCTCCTCATAGTCGCCTTCGACGACGCACGGTGCGCCAATGCTCGTCATAGAGCCAAGAGGACTCACTCGTCAGTCGGCGGATCAGAAAACCGCGCAGTGGCCAGCTGCCTGCCGGCCGGAGGCGGTTAACGATAAATACAAACACTGTCGGCCCCAGGCCCACCACTGTCTTCGTCAGACCGACTCGGCCCAACACTGGCGGCAGGCGCGCACGGTTAAAGCATTGTCTCGACAACAGATTAAAGTAGTAAGGCCGGCCCGGCGGCGCCGGCACGTATCACACTCAATAGACACCGCTGCGTGGACCCAGTCATTCCCATATCACCCGGTAGGTAGTCGGCCGGCGCTCCACCGCCGCCGTCCGGCGCGGTGCGCTCAGATCTGTGTCCCTGACGGCGGCGGCGGCCGGCGGTGAGCATGTCACGGGCCCGCGTCCCGCCGGCGGCCCGGCCGGGGTCACACCCGCTCCCGGTAGCTCTCCATCATCGAGTAACGCTGCAGGCCGAGCAGCTGCAACAGCGGCGGCGGGGCGGCGCCGTCAGCGCACCAAACGAAATGGTGGGGACCGATCCCTAATGATCACGGGCCCTGCTATCGTGGGCGGATCGAGTCTCTGCCGAGCCTGCCCTGAACAGTCTCGGCACAGTGACCGCAGTCACAGGAATTTGACACGCCGTCCACACTCACAGAATAGACTCGAGGGTAACTCAGGGAACAACGGGAGCCAGCCAGTAGGCAGTGACACCATCGAACTATAGACACACTTCCTTAACAGCGTTTAACAAATACAAACACATATGACATACGCTAAAAATTCGTGGGAATAGTCACTGGCAACTGCTAGCGTTTGCCAAGTGACCTTGCGGTTCTTTTGCCCTTGCGGTTCTTCTTTCCTTACTAAAATCTAAACATATCCCGTCCCCGCAGACAGTTCCTCTCTCACCTGTAGCGCTGAGCTCTGGCTGTAGTAGACGATGGCTCCCACCAGGTTCACGGCCGCTGCTAACGCGAACACGGGGAACCACCGGCCCTGGGAAGCCGTCACTAGGTCGGCCGTCACCGGGCCGCACAGAATGCCCGGGATCGTAGCCTGCGGGAAGTCACGGGTCAAGGGTCAAATGTCACTATCACCTGACCGCACAAAATGCCCAGGATAGTGACGTTCGAAAGGTCACGGGTCATGGGTCAAGACTTCACGGGTTATGGGTGACGAGCACAAGTTATGAATCATGAGTCGGGGCTGTAATTAATGGGTCAATTGCTGGTTGACAGGCAGGGAGTACTCATGCTCGACAGGCCATGAGACGGAGACCATTACAACGATGAGTGGTAGTTAATCCAGTTTCTATCAGTGCTAAATCAAAGTCAGGACACACGCACCTGTCCGTCTTCTCTTTCTCCGTATCCCCACCCTCCCTGTCCTCAGCTCGTCCCTCCCTCCTCACCAGGGTGTTTGAGATGGCGAACGTGACCCCGGCGTGGTTGGGCGCCACCTCGGCGTGGTTGCTCAGGTGGCCGGCCGAATTGAACGCGCAGAAACCCATCACTATCGACACCAGCCTGCCGGCAGACGAGTACCTCGTCAGAGGCGACGTGCGAAAACACGAGCGGTATCACAACGTTAGCCACAACTCGGCACTTTTGTGAATACCGTCCAGCGAAAAGAGATGCCATCATTTATCACAATCCACATCAGGCCACCAATCGCTGTTGATTGCAATGTCGACAAATAAAGCTTATCATCGCTCATTGCAACCAGCGAGACCGTCATCCCAGGGCAAAACTAACCCAATCACTGAAAACGTACATACACTACCCCGTCCCACCCCGGAAATCGTCGTCCCCACTTCGTTCTGCCCTCGTCTCCCGTTCCGACTCACAGCAGCGCCGCCGGCAGGTTTGTGACTGCACAGAAAAGCAGTAGGAACACTGCCGGCCCCACCAGGCCAACAGTGGTCATCAGACGGCGTACCGACAGCACCGTCCACTGCTTCTTGGTGATGAGACGGTCGGCCAGGTGCCCGGCCGCTGGGGGAGGGGCACGGTGGGGTCAGACGGCCGGCCGGCGCGGCAGGAGCGGTGTGTAAAGTGGGTCGTTAAGGAGGGTATAGATAAGGCAGGGCAGGGTTCATGGTGATGAAACGGCGATTGATCACGAATGAGCTCAATGTCCTTACGAGGAATATACTCGTAAAACGCGTTCCTTCAAGCAAATTCATGGCCTTAAAAAGTGAAAGGTGTGAAGCAAAGGGTAATAAGGGAGCTACAAATAAATGAAGAAGCATTCTTTCTCAAAATCAATGGACCTGCTACACTGCACCTTCAGTGGTTTTTAGTCTTTATCCATGTCCCCAACCCTCCCCCGTACCAACAATGACCCTGCGCCCGGCCACCCGTACCGACTCCGACGAACGAGTTGACGATGTAGGGCACCGCCGTCAGGCTGATGGACTCCGTGTTGGCTCCCAGCGTGCGCGACAGGTAGGTGGGCAGCCAGTGCATGATGATGTAGTTGCTCCAGTTCATGGCGAAGTGGGCGATGTAGATGGCCCAGAGCGGCCAGTGACTGACGAACTCGGCCCATCGCACCTTGGCCGCTCCCGACTGTCAAAAGAGCGGACAAGGATCAGGGCCGGTCGACACAAGAATTGTATCAGTCAAACAAAACAGATGACATGATAGGCGTTACAAATATTGAGCTTTGGATGCATCGCTAAGTAAATACATATAAATGGTGAATGGCAGTCAGTCGGTAACCTTGATATGAGACGAGACAAAAAAAAGTACTTGATTCGCTCCAACAATCGATATCGTGTCGATATGCTTCACCGCAAAGAAAACGATACGCAGCATTATCTTATCTAGGAAACAGTCAAGGCGAATCTGCAGTGCACAGCGCATTACACACAACGTACTTCACTCATTCAAAACGGACAGCACTTAGAGCAGCTAATTCTAGGGTCTCAGATCTGATATTTTTACGAGCACCACTCTTCTGAATCATGACCCAGTACACGTGACGAGTGCGGACCTTCGACCGATGCCGATCACTCACCCTCGACATGAAGCCCTCGCTCTCGGCATCTCCCGTGTCGGGGTAGAGCAGACACCAGAGCGGCAGCCAGGCCAGGCCGAGCAGGCCCAGAAGGATAAACGACGTCCTCCAGGGCAGGTGGGGGCACAGCTGCCGGGACGAGGGGCGGGGTCAGCGGGGTCAACACAGGGGTTCGCTACCAGAGGATACCAAACGAGGGAAGACAGTGGCCAGAGAAGTCCACGTAACAATAATTCGTCTGGAAACACTGCATGGAAGAGTGAGGAACGGCTAACGCACACCTGGCGTCGGCAGAGGGGCTGGGCGGCGACCATGACAGGCGAATTAATAGGCACAGGAAACGGCTGCGCACATGAAGGATACATCGCCGCGGCGTACACAAAACGTGAGCGATTACACATTTAGCTGGAAAATTTGTCTTATCATGGTGACCAGCATATGCGCTCTATAAAATTATGTGCGTGCCTGACTGGGTGATCGGAAATGACGGGGAAAACAGGCGACTGTGTCAATAGATGAGTGATCCAGCAAAACAGAGTCCCGGATGTCCCATGGTGAATAGTTCGACACGACACGAGGATGTCTAAAAAGAATATCCTAAACGGGAACAGCAGCTAATATCCTTCAATGACCACGTTCTATAACAGCATAGGTCATAATACACCAGTCAGATGTAAGCCACCGACAACTCGAAAGAAGAAAATAAGTTTTTCCCGACACACACCTATACCAATCACAATGTCCATCAAACCAACTCCACAGACAAAATATCTCACTTTGAAATTGATTAGACCAGCCGACAGTAGCAGTAGAAATCACTCAAAACGCCGACAGCAGCGCGACTCACCACAGCGGCCACGGTCTGTCCGACGCCGCCGGCGGCGATCAGGTAGCCGAACGCCCGGGAGCGCTCCTCAGCCGGCACGTAGTGGGCGTACACGTGAAATATCGTCGGCAGACCTGGAACACAGACACACCGGCATAGTGATTGTAGAGCGCCAGGCAGAGACAGTCAAAGCATACTTTCTATGTCCAGAAATATCAAACGTTTGCCTTCTAGTTAAGCCATACCATAATGCAAAAAAGCGGTAGATAACATACGATCTTGTACGTGCGCCTCATTGTTTGAAAGAACCTGATATGAAGGGCGACAGCATATGTTAAAGAATCTTTCCAAGATCAAACCCAATACGAAGTCAGGCATGTGTCATCTATTGAACCAATACCTATCACTCCATCACTTATGTATCTAGTCCCCAAGTAGCTCAAAGTCCCAACAGCTGATGCCAGTCCACCCAGTCAGTGCAGTCAGCTCGCCTCGCTGCCACCGCCCGCGCAACTCACCCAGTCCCTCGCCGAGCCCGAGCAGTATCCGGCAGATGATGAGGCCAGAGATAGAGTGTGCGATCAGCGGCGTGATGACTGTGCTCAGCGACCACAGCAGAACGGCAAACAGCAGAACAGAGCGGCCGCCCACGCGCGTCGCCAGGCTCCCGCCGATTATCTGCCGCAGCACAGAGCAGGTCAGAATGACACGCCTGTAACTGGAATGATTTGTCTATGAAGTCGTCGCAGAGCATATGGGTGTCCGAGCAGAAGCTGAAATGGCGGCTTCAATAGCACATTATGTGA